AAAAGATATTTATTAAAAAATAGTACAGACACTCTCGCTTGGGGACATTGTAATATTGTAAACGATGATGATGATGATGATGTAGAAATGTTACAAGTCTGATGTATATATTTGTTATTTATTTATATTTATTATATATTTCTTATTTATTTTTATTTATTGTTTATATTTCTTATTTATTTATATTTATTGTACATATTGAAAAAAGAGTTGTAGTGGAAGGAAAAGTGTAATTAAATTCTTATTAAATGAAAACTTTTTATTAATTTTATGTTCCTGTTCAAAAAAGGCAAGTTGAGAAAAGTCTAGTCTGTGAAAAGACTAAAATTTTTTTTTAAATTATAACGACTTTTTTTTTTGTTTCCTTCAACAATGAAGTTGGAATTTGTCTAAACTTGCTTAATTTCATTCAGTATATTAAAAGAACATTCTCTTAACTTTCCTAAAAGTTAACTTTAACTTTTGAAATAGTTAACTTTAACTTTTCAAATATTTACATGCTTTTTAAATGTAACTTTTCTAAAAGTTAACTTTAACTTTTCTAAAAATTAACTTTAACTTTTCTAAAAGTTAACTTTAACTTTTCTATAAATTAACTTTAACTTTTCAAATAGTTAACTTTAACTATTCAAATTTTACATTTCTGATTTTTTTATCCAACTATTGTGAGAATTATCGAATCCAAGCCATTTAACATAGATTTCATTACGACGATTTTTGAGGACTTTTTCTACCAAATAAATATCTGGAAATTTCACTTTGGAAATTTCTTCTTCATAGAAGCCGCCTTCGATGGGTTGATCTTGATAATCCTTCAGCTTGTAAGTTACTGGATTCGTTGATTTGACTTGAATAAAGGTGAAAATTTCAGTTGTCCAGTTGGGTGTGTATCCTTTTTCAAAAACATTCTTATACTTGCTCACTCGTACTCGATCACCAACTATGAATTTTGCTTTCTTAGGCAAAATTTTTCTTTGTTTGGAGATGCGTTTCAACAGTTTCTTTTCATCTTCTCTGCTGACATCCTTAGGTTTCATTCCAATAGTACGATGTTTATTGTTATTATACTTTGTAACAAGAGATGGTAAAATGTCATCCCATTTATAACTTCCTCGTAAGTTGAACTGTGGCCACATCATATTTTTTAGTGTGCGGTTAAATCTTTCGATAATTGAAGCTTTTAAATTACTATAAGTTGAATACAGTTTAATTTTATATGATTTCATTAAACTTTCAAATACAGAATTATAAAATTCTTTCCCTTTATCAGTATGCAAGTTTTTAGGAACACGTCCATTCACAAGTATAGATTCCATAGCTTCAGAAACATCTTTTCCACTTTTACTTTTTACAGGAATAGCCCATGCATACTTGGAAAATATATCTATAACTGTAAGCATATATTTAAAACCTTTATTAACTTTAGAATAAGGTATCATTTCAACTAAATCTGCTTGCCAAGTTTCATCAATTCCACGCATTTCTACTTTACGACGTGGATAATTTCTCCTAGCTTGCCTATGTAACTCTGTCACAACTGTTAACTTTTTATCATCCATGTTCAAGGATTTGTAACAAAAAAAATGATCTTGATAGAACAATATTCAATATAATAATGATCTTGATTTTACAAGTTCACTCTTAATATATAATTTGAACTTCCCGTAATTCTTCATTTATTGACATAATTTCATTGTTATGACTTGAATTGCCAGCCTGTTGTGATGCGACAAGTAAGCGTAGACGATCAACAATCTCGTTTGGATCATCCCAATAGACATAGTCTGGATATGATTCTTTCTTCACCGTCATAAATTGTGGTAATTGACATATTTTCAGCTGACTCTCTGCCACGTTTAAGAATACGATGCTTTCGACGTATAGCATCACTTGCTGCAGCTATTTGATGTAGTGTCTCTCGCTCCTTTCGAAACATGTTTATTTATGAAAGTCTCAAACTGAACTAATACAATTCTCTTGAAATGCTTAATATTTATAACTGAATAAAGCAATCAAATCCCTTTCTATATCTTCCATCATTTATATTTCTATCTTTATCAATAACTACAAATCCATACCTGTCAGAGTTCCAACAAACTGAACATAAATCTCGAAACTGTGTAAAAGTCATATCTGTATTCACATGATCATTATAAACATGCTTGAGATTCCTTTCATCTTGTCTGAATAGCACAAGCAAATTAATATTATCTCTAACAAGATGTTTTGGAATATGAGCATATGTTTGACAAAGATAAAAACTATCGACGTTAACATGCCGCCCATACAAAAAGCGCCTTAACATTGTCCTGCTTCTCACAAGCGATATCATCAAAAATGAAAATTGAATTAGTTTTTGCATCTTTAGGCGTAACAACTTGTTCATGTTCACTGAATGGGAAGAACTCGATGCCATCTACTTTATTAAGTACTTGTTCCAAAAATTTATATTTCGGCTGCTGTAATGATTTTGAATATAAATATATATTTTCAAATCCTAAACCATTCGGATGTATAATCAGAGAAAGAAGTGCATTCGTTTTTTCACAATTTGATGGTCCACAAAAAGCTGCTCGAATACTATTTGAAAATAAACTTCCATGTCGTTTAACCCCATTATCTTTACTTTCAATGAGGTTATCCACATTGGCAATGGGGAGTTGTACAGCTTGTACCTTAAACTGCATCTTAGAATTGACTAATGAAAAAACTATAAATACCCCACTTATATAGTCGCCCTCAATCAGTTGGTTATAGACCATTGTCGAGTGAGGAATGATTACTCACGATAAAGTGAAGAAAAATTCTTGCAGTGGTCAAGGATTTCTCAATACTTTAATTAACAAATTACCATTCGAGTGTCACATTCCTGGTTATCAATATTGTGGACCTGGAACAAAGTTGGCAAAACGTCTTGCACGAGGGGATCCTGGTATAAATCCTTTGGATACGGCTTGTAAGGAGCATGATATAGCCTATTCAAAAGATAAAGACATGGCTGCAAGAAATACTGCAGACAAAATACTAGCTGAAAAGGCGTGGGAACGAGTAATTTCCAAGGACGCTAAAATTAGTGAAAAAGCAGCTGCATTAGCTGTAACTAATATAATGAAAGCTAAATCTAAATTTGGGATGGGTTTGAAAATTAATAATAACAATATTAAGAAAAAGATTGTGAAGAAGAAGAAGAATACAATTTCCAAGAAAAATAAACGCATGACATTAGGGAAGATTATTCATGCTGCTAAAAATAATATGAAAAATAATCATAACGCAACGGACACTATTAAAACAGCAATGATTGGTGCACAAAATACAGTTAAAAATCTTGGTAGTAATTGTAAAATTTCATCACCTCGAATTCTTCCCGTACCTTCAAAAGTTGGCGGTATTTTACCGCTAATACCAATTTTTTCCGGGCTTAGTGCATTAGGAACACTTAGTGGTGGAGTCAGTGGTATTGTAAAAGCAGTAAATGATGCTAATGCTGCTAAAAAACAATTTTCAGAAGCTCATCGACATAATGAAACAATGGAGGCTATTGCTATAGGAAAGGATATATATTTGAAACCCTATCGTAAAGGACTTGGTCTTTATATTAAACCACATCAAGGAAAAGGTTTGAAATATACAAAGAGTGTTCAAAAAAACTAATATTGAAGCTACCTCACCGCGCACTAACCGACTATGATTTACTTAAATATGCTAAACTTATGAAAATACCTAAATTTCGTGGAGTTTTCATGAGAAATGAATTACCTATTACAGCACCTTATAAATGTGAATCAGCCATAATTAATCTTAATAATAAAGAAGGTCCTGGAACACATTGGGTAGCATATAAAAAGATAAACAATGAAACTGAATATTTTGATAGTTTTGGAAATCTTTCACCACCATTGGATCTCATTGTTTACCTAGGTGTTGGTAGCTATATAAAATATAATCATGAGAGATATCAAAATTTTGATACATTTATATGTGGTCATTTATGTCTTAAATTCTTATGTAAGCAACTTAACGTTAAGAACAGTTTTAATCTATATAAGAATATGTAAATAATTATAACCTTTAGTATAAAAGTAGATGTCCAACATGAATGACTCTTTTACTTTAACGTTAACGGGAAAGTCTTCAGTTCTGGAGGCTTCATACTTCCCACCTATTAAACTTTCACCTAATAAAAATTATACACTTGGACTTGTTGATTTATTTACATATAACTCAATTCCTAACATTGATGAAAATTGCAACAAATTTTATATAAACAATATTGAGATTACTATACCTACTGGTAGTTATGAAATTAAAGATATAGAAGCATATTTAAAACGTCAAATAACAGACAAAAATTATTTGACAATAGAGTGCAATAATAGTACATTACGATGCTATATTAAATCAAATCTTTGGATTGACTTTACTCCTGAAGATTCTGTTGCTAGTTTATTGGGATTCACTGCTCGCAAACTACCACCGAATGTAAAACATTCCTCTGATTTACCTGTAAAAATATTGAAAGTGAATGCTCTACGCATTGAATGTAATATTACCACTGGAGCGTATATAAATAGTGAAAAAGTTCACACTATACATGAATTTTTCCCCACTGTTCCATCGGGATATAAGATTGTAGAAGTTCCAGCACACATCATTTACCTTCCAGTCGCCGTAAGGACAATACATAACATTCAGCTGCGTATAGTAGATCAGAACGGTATTTTGGTTAATTTTAGAGGAGAGACAATAACAATCCGTTTACATATTAAATCAATGTAATGGGTATTGTTTATAATCGAAAAGTTGGAAGTAGTTATAAAACTCAAACACCATGTCCATCGAAGATCAGTTTGAAAACAGCTCGCAAGGTGTTAACACCTCAGAGTCGACAATTCCTGAAGCAGCTAGGTCTACGAGTCAGAAATCAAAACTAAGGAAGAGAAAGAAGAGAAGAGGAGAAAATTTTTTCTTGTTTATTTTGTGTCGTTGTTATAAGAAAAATGGAGGAGATTCTCAGCATTCCAGCATCAGTGAATTTTGATGAATCCATAGCTAATTATGAGATTCACAGTCATCAACCATATGCATCCTCATCGTTTAACAATAGTGATGAAATTCGCATTATTGTACAAAATCAAGATTTATCTATTTTACCAAGCAATAGTGTATTACATATTTTTAGAAGGTTGACTAATGCTGATGGAACTGATGCCACACAAAATATTCATTTCATTAACAATGCGATAGCCTATTGGTTTGATGAAATTCGTTATGAATTGAATGGTATTGAGATTGACCGTTGTAAGTATGTTGGACATACAACTACTATGAAAAGCTTGGTTTCTTTAACACCACCTCAACTTAACCGCGCTGAAAATGCAGGAGTTTTGAATGTGGAATTGAATACAAGAATGGCATTACAAGATGGATATTTTGATATATCAATACCACTTGGTATGATTTTTGGTTTTGATGAAGATTATAAAAAAATTGTTGTGAATGCTAAACATGAACTGATTTTAATAAGAGCACGTAGTGATTTTAATTCTATTATTCAAATGGGCAAAGGTGCAGATGAACAGTTCAAAGTGCAAATTAATAAAGTGGAATGGTTAGTGCCATATGTTTTACCATCTGATAATAATAAAATCAAATTATTGAAATTTATCGAAAAAGATCCACTTATTTTAATGAGTTTTCGATCGTGGGAAATGTTTGAATATCCTTTAATTCCATCAAGTACAAGAGTCATGTGTCAAATAAAATCGTCAACACAATTAGAGAAGCCTCGATATGTAATTGTTCGATTCCAAACAGGAAGAAAAGATAAACGTAAAAAGTCTGGCAGTTATTTTGATCACTGCGACATTATAAATGTAATAATCTTTTTAAATTCACAATCATATCCTTATGGAAATTTAAATTTTAATCAAAATCAATATTCTATTGTTTATGATATCAGTTGATGTACGTTTGGAATTTGAAGCTAGAAATAATATACCTGCTGAAACAACTGCTTATTGCCTCATCATACATGATCGCATTGTACAGCACGGTGAGCTTCGTTTAGGTTCAACCTAAACTGCATGACCCTTCTCAGGTTTTTTTTTATATCAATTCGGTGATGCCTCACGATCATTTTAAGACGAAAATTAAAATAATCGTTGGAGGGAAACTCAAATTATATTGATTTTTAAATTTTTTTCTAGGTTATTGAAGATATTTTCATTAAAATACCGTTTGGTAAAATACTTATTGCTTCAAAAGCTACAATTTAACATAAAAATAGATTATATATAATAATTAAACCATTTTGATACATAGAATTAAGAAAATGTTTAAAAATAGTCGAAAAAACTGAAATTTTTCTAATTTTTTAAACTTTACTCCTTTACTTAACGTTATTTCAATAAAGTCATGTAGAAGTGAATTAAAGTACATAAAATTTCCTGTAAATCAAAAAAAAACTCTTTTATCTATTATTGTTACAAAAATATGGTCATTTGAATTTTAAATTTAATGGATAAATAGTTAAAATTTACCATTAGGTCTAGATTATTTGGTAAAATTGTTTTCGCAGAACCTCATCTCAATTCCAGAATATAATACGTATAAGAAGGTTTAATCTTGAACAGTTTCAAATTGAAAAAACTGATTTATATCACTTACATCGAAAGTTACATTGGTTTAAAGAATGTCTATTTCTATAAGAGAGATTTGAGTAGTTTTTAAAAATCCGTTTATTTTGAAAAATGCAACATAATCATATTTAAAATATTTACTTTTTTAAAAAGTAAATGGTAAGGTACAAATATTTGGTAACAACAACGATATTTTTAAAATGCGTGAAGGCCGTTGTATTCACAAAGAGCGCGATTTAATTATGGAATTGAGATGAGGTTCTGCGAAAACAATTTTACCAAATAATCTAGACCTAATGGTAAATTTTAACTATTTATCCATTAAATTTAAAATTCAAATGACCATATTTTTGTAACAATAATAGATAGAAGAGTTTTTTTTTGATTTACAGGAAATTTTATGTACTTTAATTCACTTCTACATGACTTTATTGAAATAACGTTAAATACAGGAGTAAAGTTTAAAAAATTAGAAAAATTTCAGTTTTTTCGACTATTTTTAAACAGTTTCTTAATTCTATGTATCAAAATGGTTTAATTATTATATATAATCTATTTTTATGTTAAATTGTAGCTTTTGAAGCAATAAGTATTTTACCAAACGGTATTTTAATGAAAATATCTTCAATAATCTAGAAAAAAAATTTAAAAATCAATATAATTTGAGTTTCCCTCCAACGATTATTTTAATTTTCGTCTTAAAATGATCGTGAGGCATCACCGAATTGATATAAAAAAAACCTGAGAAGGGTCATGCAGTTTAGGTTGAACCAAAACGAAGCTCACCGTGACAGTATAAACCAATCAGCGGTATAGTTAAAAAACTGTAAAGCAATGGAGGGGGTAAAATGAATGTAGTGGGGAGGGGTTGAACTGAGAGGTATATAACTCACGTTCCTGGGATAGAAATTTATTTCTATTCCAAGATGGAGTTCATCGTTGACGTTCAAGGCTTCAAGAAACCCTGCAACGATTTCATTTTCAAAGAGTTTGCTATACTTACTCTTGAAGCTGATGCTCAACCTCGAGTTTACCTCTATGAACCTCCATGTGCTTGGAATTCACTACCTGAACAGTGAAAAATATTTGTTAAATGTACAAAATTTAGAAGATTTAGACTGTCCAGCGATTAAAAATATTAAAACTGAATCGTTGTTAACTACATGTACGCATCATATTACACAAACTAACCATTGTGCTGTAAACATTGTTATGATTCTTTGAAATTGGTTTCTAAATGTATCGAATGAATTGAGAAATTTTTCAGATGGCGTCGATGAAGTGGATTGTACTTATACTACTTTAAAATCTTTTTATGAAACTTCTGAATCTCTAATATTATAAATTTAATCTATTTTTGAATAAATAAATATAATAGTATTAAAAAATTAATATCTTTTTATTGTTGTTCAACCTATGCCCTTAGTATCAAGACTAATAATGAAGGCAAAATAAGAAAAACAATTTTTTAAAGTAAAAATTTATAAATTTATTTTCTCTCACATTTTTGAATATATATTTACATTTTTTTCTATTACAATTTTTTTATATATATTTTAATAATATTTAATATTATTTATATTCAAATTGAATTTCATTAAATTTTCCACCGAGATATTTTAATTGCAATGTTTGAAACTGCGCGGCTTCTTCCATCATCGTATAGGAAGTAGGTTCAGCTTCAAACAGCCGAGCAAACCTTGCTGACAGGAATGTTGTGAAAGCAGCATCCAAGTCTGCTACAATCCTGACTCCGACTTTGGTCTGCACTCGCTTTATCTTAGTCACTGCATACAACCCATTTGGAGTCAATTCAGCTAGCGGTTTGGTAGGTAGGAAGCTTTCCATGCGGCCAACAGCGTTGAGTTTTTTTAATCCATAGTTTTTTTTATATCTGTAAGCAAAAAATAAAATTAAAAATAATAAAATAGAATAAAAAAAGGATTTAAAGAAAAAAAAGGATTTAATACATACCGAAAAAATGTCTCTACTGCTGCTGCTGCTAGTGCTGATGCTGCTACTGCTGGTGCTGCTGGTGCTGCTGCTGCTGATGTTGGGAATCTAGGACAGAAATGATCTCTCTGGAACTGGAACACGCATTTTAACTCTGCAACCCCACTCTTCCTCAACTCCCATTCTATATTACCCCCACTTGAAAACTGCGCAGGCAACTCCCCTTTAATGTAAACTCTGTACCCCCACTCTATTAAAATAATGCGCACGCAAAGTTGTTGAAAAGAGAGGGAGAGTGCGCGCGCAACTCGCAGTGTTTTATTGTATTACATTATTCTTTTATTGTACATTTCTGTTAAAGTAGAATTTGGAGAATTCTATGCTATTTAATCTCTATAATTCGAACGTATTGTCGTGAACTTTAACTAACGTGTCCTTCGGACAAAATTGTAATAGGTAGTGGATTCCCCCTCTAATTGGCTATTGTTTCAACCAATAGGTTGAGAACCTTATTCTTACAAAAGGAAGGAGAGGATATCTTCAGATGTATTTAAATTAATTGAAACACAAAGATAAATTTATACAATTATATATTTTCCCCCAAAAAAAGAAACCCTAATACAACTTTATCTAATTCTGTTATATTTGCGAAACTCGAACTCTGAGCTGTGTGTATGTGTTGGTATACTGTGTGTGTAAGGTGAGATGCTATGAAATACTCACAAGTGATATGCTTTTCTTTTCGCTTTTAACCAATTTGCTGAATCTTCGAAGGAATTCTTGCTTCTCACAATTTTAGGAGAAAGAACTTTAAATTTTCGTATATATAAATCTCAATTTCTTTAAATATTTCTTAAACTTTCCTCTAATTTCCACCACAGAGTATTGATTCTTCTTTTTCTTTATATTCACGGCTAACTGCCGAACTTTAAAATAAAACAGGCTCTTTGCCCGATTAAAAAAAACGCTTGATAAACTCTCGGCTTGAAACTGCCGAATTACAACCACCGGCTACGATGGCCCGGTTCAAAACTCCTGGCTAAAACTGCCTCGATTTCCCAATGTCACTCCGTTTTATTGAAAGACATTTTGATGGGGAAATCGTACTGCAAGTTCAATGCACTTGGTTGTTGCTAAGTACATTTCTACAATCTTGCAAATTTAGGTAGTGGTGTGATCCGAGTTCAGTGACTTGGATTCACCACTCCTTATATTGAGAAATATACATTCTTATATGTTTCTCAATATTTCTAAAGAAGGTCAATAATTCTGTAGTCAAAATCAAAGAAACGTATTAAACAACCTTGTTTTTTTTGTTCTTCAGTCCCTTCAGCCCAAATTGTGAAAACCGAAAAATATTATCTAATTATTTTAATATTTTAACACATTAGAATAAAAATCAAACAGACTAGATTATCTTTTATCAATTTTACATTTGAAGGTGTTTTGTGTAATTATGTTTTCGATATTGATAAATAATTGCATAATTTTTTAGAAAACAAATTGATAATTTGTTTTTTACAATTATTTAAAAGGTTACGGAGTTTGATCGTAACAAATGCCCCCCTTTTATTAGGCTGACGTCCCTTGTCAGCTGCTAGAAATGTGCGTGTTGTTTATGTTGTGGTCCAGGTGTATCTTCCGCGTAAGTTGTGATAGATAACTCCTTCGAGTTTTACAATTTGTGTCCATTTTATTATTTTTTTTTTTACATAACTGGTTCTCTGTAAGGTAAGTATTTATTAGAAGAGAAAAACAAAGAAACAGCAAACCAAAAAAACTAAAATTCCACTTTTTATTAAATAAAATAAAGTAATAATAAAAAAATGCGATGTGTCAAAAAAACTATTCGTTTTGTTTTGATTTGCTGCGTTTGCAAATTTGGGCTTTTTGTGTCAGTATAACGTCAAGGTAAATGTAAGGTCGGAATGTAACTTGATGATTTACCGGTAGCTCGTGTAAGATATAAAAAGGAAAGGAAAAAATATATATAATTATGCTTTTTATTTTACTATTTTTTTCTTTTATTATTTTTTCTTTAAATTCATAAAATTTTGTATAATTTTATAAAAAAAAAATCAAAACAAATGAGTGACTTGTAAAAATTGTTAATATTTTCAGTTTTTCTTTTTTTTTAAATATATGAATGTGACGACATAATTGTTGTTACTGCCCCCCTTTTATTTGAACTGTCGTCCCTTGACAGCTTCTATTTTGTGTGATAAAGAAAAAAAATATGTGGATTGTTAATCGTTGCTTTTTGAAGACAGTCAATACAGAAATTGTTCATTTAGCAAGTAATGGAATACTGAGTAAAAGATCATTTGTCTGCGTAAATTGAGTGTCTTTGTCATATTTTATTTGATATTTCCTTTTGTTTGCTTCTCACGGTATGAGTTGCTGATTTATGATTTTTTTTTTACTTCTTATGGGACTTTTGATTTCGGTATTCATTAGTTCTCGTTCGTGTGTTGAATTGTTCGGTTG